TGTCTGTCTGTCTGTCTGTCTGTCTGTCTGTCTGTCTGTCTTTTTGTCTGTCTGTCAATCAGTCTGTCTGTCTGGCTGTTTATGTCTGTCAGTCTGTCTGTCTGTCTGTCTGTTTGTCGGTCGGTCTGTCTCTCTTGGTGCCTACGTAAATAGGGTAAAAATATTCCAACCCCCCCCCCCCAACCTCTTACATTTAGAACTTATTTGATCTACTACTATGTATACCCGATGTCTCCATGTTGGACATATATAGGTCGTTGTGACCTCATTTGCAAAGGACTCTTTTAACGTGGGTTAGTGTCGGGTGCTCTGGTGTGGTTTGCTTCTTCTTTCCTATCAAACATCTATCGTCCTTATCTCCCCTTCTTCTTTTTTATGTTCCTTACTCTCTTGAAACATCTCTTATCTTCTGGCGCTCATATGACCTGATGCAGTTGCAAGCATCGTAAAACCTCAACTAAAACTAAACTCTTTTAACTTGTTTTTAGAATGGGTGGTCGAAATGTCCTTTGACCGTAAATAATATTGTCCAACGGGTACGTTTCCCCTTTGTCCCTTTATCGTTATGTCGTTGTTGGTCCTTTAGAGTGAATTGAGTGGACTCTCGTGGCCTAGAGGTTAAGGTGTTGGCCTCTCATTCATCAAAGGTCCCGGGTTCGAATCCGGGTAGCGACCGAAAAAATTTTCTTCTCTAAAATGGTCTCCTTTCACCTGCTTTCCTGCTCTCTTGCAATGTTCTATCGTCTGCTTTCGTTTCCACTTTCTACCCCCGCCCCTCACCTCCTTTACCCCCTCCTCTGGGTTCCTAACTCTTTCTACTGCTACCCCTTGGCGCCTTACTGCTGTCTTTCAGCCACACCACTGATCTTCTGGTAGGAAAGATCTACACTTAGCCTTCCCGGGCAAGGGCGAAAAATCACGGCGTGAATTATCCGTTTTCTTTTGAAAAACCCTCAACAATCAATAGCTTTCGGCTAAAAGCGTTATAACAAACGAGGCGAATCCGCTGGCTTTTTAGCTTAGTGCAGACGTTAAGAATGTTAAAATAGCAATTCTTAGAGTCCTGGATGGCTTGTACCCCGTCCGACCGAAGGTTCACTTGCTCTTAAATTTCGAGTACGGATTTTAACCTAACGACTGAAATGGACACTAATACCCAAGGCACGCTCTGAAATTTTTGTCAAATCACTATCCTAAAATTGTTTTATTCATTTAAAGGCGGCCAACTTTTCCATTGCGGGTAAAGAAAAGCTACCATTTTCATACAGTCCGATCCGATCCGATCTGATTCGATCCTTGAAAATCAAACATTTGATATTCTTGGCCGCAATCAGATACATTTTATGAAAATCATGACCAATAGCGTACCAGATAGTGTGATTTTTTTTTAATTTTTTTTTTTTTTTTTGGGGGGGGGGGCATATGTGTGTTTCCATAGTGTGCGACATGCAGTAATGGAAGTCAGTGTCAAGTTTGGTGAAGAGAAACTGAGTCTATTTGATATAATGTGCACTGGCCAGAGCCATTTTTCGACTAGACGCGATCCGATCTGATCATGCAGACCGGACTCAGTTGATCAATGAGCAGCCATGTTATAAGGAGACGTCTTGGCACACGCATCGATTCAAATTTTACCATCCATTTTGCTGGGTTTTAGTTGCTATGTGTGTGTGTGTTTTAAGGGGGTGGGGGTGGGTGGGGGGGATCCAACGAACATTATGTGAGGAAACAAGTTAGACGTGGGATTAGTTGTATGAATCTGTCACTGGAGATACTTGATCAAACCGAAACAGACGTTTTGAAATGTCATCTTGCTAAGCCTGGTCTCCTGTTGTTGTTGTTTTGTTGTGTTGGATTTTTTTTTTTGTTTTTTTTTTGGCTATTGCTTTTTTTATATTCGAGGTGGCAAGTTATTCACGGATTATGCTTTAGACTAGGAGGGTTTCTTTGAAACAGTCGTGTCATGAATAACAAGCATCAGCATTTCATTGGGAATCTAAGAGCCCACTGTGCAGTATCGCATTTTGACATAATAACCAATTGGGTATCAAATTAGAGATCTTCTTCTTCTTCTTCTTCTTCTTCTTCTTCTTCTTCTTCTTCTTCTTT